GGATTTCTATCTGTAGATTTAGAATCATTTCTAATTTTTCATTTATTTTGTCATTTTGTTCTTGTATTTTCTTCCAAAATTCTTCTAAGGTTTTTTCCTGTGTTTTCTTTAGTCTGTCGCTCAATCCTTTGAAGATACCTAAATATAATTCTTTTGAATTCCTTATCAGAGAGTTCTAATGCTGCTTCTTCCTCAGGGATGTGTTCTGAGTCTGTAACCTGTTCCCTTGTTTCTACCATTTTATCTTGCTTCTTTTTGTGGACTGTGATGGGTCTGTTGTCTCCAAGGCATCGTGGTATTGTATTAAAATCTCTGTTAATTGTGAAGAGCAGCCAAGGGTGATTCAGGCTCTTCTTGGTGGTTTTTTATTGTTAGCCCGTTGGTGGAGAAGGAGTTGCTGGCTCTTGCTCAGTAAGTGAAGTTGCAGGAGGTGTGGGTGTACTTGTGTCTTATGGGGACTATTGCTGTCTACCACTCAGGCAAAATTACAATTGAATGACCACTGAAAAAACTAAAAGCACATGGACAAAAAATACACCCTGAAATCACACAAGAACAGTAAACCCCCCCCCCCAAAAAAAGGTGGAGAAAAGAAGAAGAAAACAGGTAAATATGCAATATCTGGGGATAGGTCACTAAGAGAAAAAAGAGAAGGAGAGTAATGAAAAAAGAAAACAAACTAACAAACAGGGGAAAAAAAAACAATAAGGAATGGTGTTAACCATGAGAGAAAGAAAAAAAAAGAAGGTATAAACTAGGACCTTTTCAGTCGTGTAGTGCAGGTCCAGAGAGTTCTTGGGGTTACTGGAAAACAAAACCTCTTCTTAAGCCCTTTGAATCTGGTAGAGCGCTGTCTCTTTAGGTTGTCTCTAGCTGCTGGTTACATGTTGATTTGTTTTGTCTTGGTTTTATGGTGTAATATTTTGAAAAGGTGAAGCTGGTGTGTTTTATTTTATTGTTGATTCAGGTGTTGGGTCTCTCTGCTGTTTTCTTTGTGATGGTGGACTCACTGTGTGTAGTGTGGATATGTGTTTCTGTTTTTTGTAAAGAAGGTTTAGAGTTCGAAGTGGGAGGTTTTATGGTAATTGGCTGCATATGCTTTCTTCTACTGAATAAGTGAAGTTATTGGCAGAGAAGGTGGGAGCAGAAGAAGGAAAGCTTGGTGTTGCTAGGGTCAGTTTCTAGGGCTTTGAGCAGGCTATTATTGATGATGTATTTATTTGCAAGACCACGGCTCAACCTCAGGAAAGATTCCTATTGTTAGAGGGTCGCAAATTTCCGCCAATTTCAGGCACACTCAAAGACCCTGCCTCCGCAGCCCCACAGTGCCAAAGCATGGCTCCAAAGCAAAATTCACGGGACTGCACTCAGCTGCGGTTTCGTTGCTCTCCGTGTCCCCTTTGCCCATGGTGCTGACACAATCCCGCCACACCGCTAATGGCGGGCTCTGGGGTTTGTCTGTGATACCGCCCACCTGCAGCACCAAAGATGCACGCAATTTCAGCTCTATTGGAGTCAGGCGAGTACCTACTAGTGACCTGCAGTCCCGATATCTGTGGCAAAGAAAAGCACAGTATCTCCCAGTCTGGCCCAAGCCCACTCTGTGATCTGCTGGGAGGGGAGGGAGCTAGCATTTCTGGTGCAACAGTGAGACCTCTGCCTGAATCTCAGCAGTGGTGCCCGTGCCCGCCTGCACCCAGACGACCCAGATGACCCAAATTACCACCAAAATCAGCTGCTAGAGGCAGGTCTTTGCCACTGCCCACTGGAATATTGTAGTTGTCACTGGTATGCTCCTATAAGGTGACTTCCTTCTTGGCTCAGGGATCTCAGGCAGCTGCCCTCACCTGGCTGACAGTGACTGCCCCAGGAAAGTTTGCAATGATCTCTCTCAGGTGCTTGTCCATCCTCTGCCAGTAGCTCTTTCCTAGATAATCTCCCTGTGCCTTTCCTCTAATTCTGCTCTTCTGTGTTTGGTGCACTCTGCTTCAGTGAGCTGTTCAGAACACCAAAGTTCCTAATTCAAACTTGTATCTAGTTTTCAAAGTCCTTAGATGCCAGAGGCAAAAAAAAAAAAAAAAGAGTATATGAACTGCTGTATGGAAACTGAATTTGCTCTGTAAATTTTCACCCAAATCACAATTAAAAAAAAAAAAAAAAAATGCTGCTCACTGGTGAGACTCCATTTTTAATTCTCTCTACTACTTTTTATAACACATTTAGAGTTTGAGATTGATTCCACACACCTCATTGTACAGCACACATAATAAAAAGAAAATAAGAAATGGAAGTGCTTATTCTAGGACAGCAGACTACAAGGTGAAATTAAGGAAATTTGAGCAGTGCTGCTCCTACTCTTGAATGACTAGGTCATTTGTTGTTTCCTTTTTTATCTAATCCATCATGGCATGTGGTCCTACTAAACATGACTAGTTCACATGCAACTTGCAATACGAGTTCAACAACCCGAGCTGGTCTATACCCTGTTCAATGAGAGTTTTTCACTGATCATGCTCTTGGAGATCCAAGCAATGTCAAACTGCTGTAAATTTCTAAACATTCTGTTTCTTTTTTGTCATCAAGTGATAAATACATGTATACTACACTAGAAGCAATAAGTGTCCACACTTATTTGTGTCACACTACTAAGCAGAGCAAAATTTGCTATCCAACAGATTTCTGACTAACATTTTAGGTTGTTTCCCATCTCTTGCTATTAGAAACTGCTACATGCCTTTGAGCACCTGTATGTACCAATGCACATCTGAAGACTAAAGTCCTGTAAGAAGACCAGTTACACTGTCACCACATCCTTTTGAATGTGGGTTTGAATTTGGGGAATTCAAAATTTGTCAGGAACCAAATCAAGATATAAGAAAGGTCTAGATCTAGCTGGACAGTGACAAATGTTAAAAAGCCAAGATATTAGATATTCCTGGGATGTTCAGAAATTTGAAGGCAATTCTCAAAAAGCACTAACTCATTCCTTAATCAAAACACCTTCGAAATTCTGCTAAGAATAAGTGGCTTCCAGCAAGATAGAGGATGCCATATCTTTACAAATTATTTCTTTTTTTAAGTTCAAAATATATATGCAAAATGCTACTTGTGTGTAACTTGTGTCGTATCACCTTGCTATTGGCAATGAGAGAAGACCAAATATTCTTACCCATTACCACCCAATACCAATGATTAAGTCTAACACAAGGTTCCAAGTGAAGCTACAACATGGCTTCAACAACCAGTAAACAGTGGACTCAGGTCTCCTGACCTGATTCTGTAACTGACCAACAAAAATGCTTATCTGAAGCCCCTTTCAGAACATGAAGCAGCTCAAATGATCTGACCCTACCTAGCTAAACTCTCAAACAAGTTGGTTAGTTATCTTCCCTAACTCCTGCAAGAACATATCAAGGAAAACCCAGAAACATGTAAGCCAAAATATGGTCCTCCCTTGAGGTATCCTTGAAGCACTAACGTGTCTGAAAGCTATACATAGTTATCTGGGAAAATAATCTTTTAGGCAATGTAGTATAGACACCAACAATTCTTTCAGAGCTCTTGCTAGTATGGGAAAGCTTAATGAGAGACAGCCTCTGATTAACCCTGGGAACCCTACAAGTCTTGCCAGCAACTGCCTGACCTGCTGGCCTCCTACCCATATAGAAGAAAGATGTAGGCATTGCTTCCACTGAAAGTTATTTTGCCTAGTGTTTCCATCCAAATAGGAATAAAACTAGGACTCACTGTACACATTTCACAGCTTTTATTGAGATTCAGAAAGGGTAGCAGTGATGATGAGCATGCTCACTGTCCCAATTTGCCCAGGCCCTCTGCCGCATGTGTAACAGCATTTGTGACTGTGTTGGTCACTGTTTCAGTGGCTTCCTTCACAATTTTTTCCCCTGACTCTTGGGCTTTCTTTAAGGCTTCAGCAATCACTATCAAAAAGAAAGGAAAATGTCTAGGTGAGCAAAGTACATTTCAAGCCACTCATTGGCCAAGTCACCCCTTGTGGCCTATAGGATGTAGCTGCCTTACTGAACTGCCTCCTGAAGGAGCCCAAGGGGATGGCAGCTGAGTTCCTGGCCCAGTGAGATCAAATTTGGTTGTTTTTTCCCCCAAGGACTCATTTCTTCAATTATGAATGAGACCAGGTATCTGCTGGTTGGTATGTTGACTAGTTGCATTTCCTTTTCTTGTGAACTACATGTTTGATTGTTAGATTTTCATTTAGCCATTTATAAATTAAGGCATTAGCCTTTTATCATTTGTATTATATATTACTTTTTTTTTTTTTCTCAGTTTTGGGTTTTTCTTTTGGCTTGGCTTATTTTCTTTAGTATGGAAAAAAATGAAGTTTTATGTTGTCAAATTTACTTTAGGGCTGCTGGGTTTACTGTCATAGTTTAAAATATCCTCCCCTCTCAAAGATCATAAGAGTCTCCTAAGTTATCTTCTAACAATTTAATAATGTCATGTGTTTTTATATTCAAATCCATGATCCATCTGGGATCTATTTTGCTGTGAGGAATAAGGCGCATGCCTTTTACATAGTTATACTCCCAGCATATATACATAAGTGTGTATATATATTTAAATTTATATAAATGTATAAATTTATATCTTAAATACTTTCTTCCAACATGTTGCCACATAGTCTTTTGTCAAATTCCACAGAGAGAGCTATCTAGATGAAGCTATTAAGAACAGTGTGGTCTGTAGCCTCAGATGTTCATATTGTTGTTAAGTGCCATCGAGTCACCTCCAACTCATAGTGTCCCTATGTACAATGGAACATAGGTCCTGTGCCAGCCTCACAATCCTTGCTATACCTGAGCCCATTGTTGCAGCCATGATGAGCTCTGGTAGCATAGTGGCTAAGGCACTTGACTGCTAACCAGA